TTTAAAAAGGTGATGATTCCTAGCAAGACAGTATGAGGAGAGGAAGCCAAACTGGTGCAGAAGCTAATAAAATCAAGCTTGGTGCTTAAGAGGAAGAAATGAATCATATAACAGCTTGTTGACTCAAGAATAATAACAGAGAGGACTGAACCAAACACAAATCCTTTGTCTCAATTGCAGATGGGAGTGGATCCAGAAGGCTTTCAAGAGGTGTTTTGCCTTTAGATGAGGGAACTCCAGATGAAAAAATCAGATACTGACCCCAACACTGCACGCCACAGCACAGCTGTATAGCTGAGAGACACAGAACAGCCTTTGTAAGACAGAAATAAACGCCTAACAAAAAAATCTGTAATGGCTTTTAGATCTGCTCAGAGGCACACATCCTAGTGTCCTAAAAGCAGATTTTTTTCCTCATACAGGGAACAAACATAAAAGCTTGCTATCTTCTCAGCTTTCCTCAGAGCTTCCACTGGGTTCTCCTTCCAAAGAGTAATAAGACAGTTCTGCATTAAGAGAAAGAAGAGAGGTGTGCCTCTTGTCCATATGGTCTACAGTCAAGGACAACAGGAATCACAATCCTGTCCTTGAACAGCACCTGTAAGTGCAGGAAGTGAATCGGTGGCTGAGCAACTAGGTATTTCATAATGAGCTCTACGTATGCCAATAGAGCTTTGTGCAATTTGATATAAAATGAACCTACCTAGGGTTTATTCTACGTGCGAGCAGAAAGGTTAGCTCAAAGCAACAAGGCATGTTCCTCATAAAAGGGCGAATAATAGTCATTTCCTACAATTATACCTACTATGCCTCCAATATGCCAAGCACATTAACGTGCAATAACTAGCAGGCTCAGAAACCAAGTAGCTCTTCCTAGCACTGTCTAATTATTTTTTTCTCTGAGGAATACAAAAAGCTACAGCAAATGCATCTTTTGTCGTCCCTTTAATCTCACTTGAAACTTTCTTTCTCTTTTATGTTACTAGCAGTACATCAGACAAGCTCTTTCCTGACAATGCAGGAGGAAACATCATGTTAGTGAAAATGTACATGTTATCCAAGGGCAAGTTCCTTTACTAATAAGAGTCCAAACGGCTTTTGTTACAGGTATCAGTGTTACCTGGCATCAATCTAAGTGTATTTACTACAATTCCTGTGTAGTCATTTATATTTTTTAGTAAATCTAATAAAACACTAGGAGCTGAAATATTTTGCCATACTTCTGGAGTTCAGACCAATATTAAAGAAGTGAAAATGAGAGGAAAACTGTGCCCTACCTTCCAGATTTATTGCGTTTTATTTCAACTTTATGCAGGTGTAGAAGGCTGGCAAGGTATAATGAAGAAGTATAATAAAGCCTGGCACTTTTTTAAAAGCTGGTTTCATGCATTTTGTAGCTTTATTTGTTAACAAATATTCTGAGATTATCAAAATTACTTTTCTCATACATACCGTCATCCTTCGTGGCTACAGACCCCATGAAGCAGCTAACTAGCCAGCCCAGAGGAGAGCATAATGCAGCCAAAAGGCAACTCCTGAGAAGCCCTACGGCAATATTTTCACTTTGATGTTTAAGACGTTTGGGACTTTGAGAAGAAAAAATTCTCTAACAAAGAGAAAAGGTAAACTAGGAAATTATTCCAGTCAAATAGGAAGATGTGGTGCCTGATCCAACAAGCATTTGACAAGCTCTTAATTCAACCATCTGAGTACTGTGGATGCAAAATCTTTTCTGATTGTGTACAAGCACCTCTCTACTATCGTGTGTGTATGTGGACATGTTCGTCTTACAGTTACGTGCTCATGTCCTTCATTGAGAGACTCAGGCACCAAGCAGGTCATCCCCAGGTCACGAAAATATTTTTCATTTTTCTGTTCACTAAAATCTCCTTAGATCTAAAGCACACTTCTAATTTTAACTAAAGAAATTGCATTTGCAGATATTCAAAATCATATGAAAAGACAGATTTGGCACAGTTCACAAACAAAATCAAAACCACATGACTCCAAGGCAGGAAGAAACTGAACTCCTTAGGAAGCAACCCCATATTCCCTGTCTTTCTTAACCCTCTTAGACCTTATGATTCAGTAGCTCTTATTTAATCAAACTGAAAGAAAAGCCATTTTCATCAAATGATTATATTTTTGCATTAAAAGACAAACTTAAAGCTGCTTGGATCATTTAATAAAATATTAGCTATCCAGTCTTTGCCATATTTTCTACTTCTTTTTGTATATGCATTTTACTTAACTTTCTCTTTCATCCTAGGTTCAACGTTTATGATCACAGTGTGATGACTGCCAAAAGCATGTTTTAGTATATTTTTCCAGCAGTCTGCTAAGCCATAAAAGAAAAAAAAATAGTTATAAAATGTAAAATAACCTAAAAAATTGTGTTTAGATTATAGGAACACATAAATGGGAAGTCAAAAGGACTGAAGATTACGATATTGTCCATTAAAGACTGCACCTAATGAATGGCAACAAATTTGGGAAAGAGAAGCCAGTGCATAAAACTCAGCAAGACATGCTATTAACCCAGTAGGAAGGAATTATACTTTTCTCCCCAAAAATCCCCAGTGATACTTGACCTGATATGGCTCTTCTTCTAACCATAAAGACTTCTATATTTATACAATAAAGACATTCTCCTTTTTAACTTCACTAGTAGTAAAAACTACCACTGAAATTACAGACAGCTCAGTTTTATTGCCTGTTCCCTTTATTTAGGACTTGAAACAGTGAAGCACATTAAACATATGCTTACCTTCAGTATATTAGCGTCAGAGGGGTTAGTGTGGAACACCAAGTCAAGCACATGCTCAGGAGTTTGCCAGAATAAGGCATTATGGTCTCATGCAAAAGCAGTAACTTTGAGCAGAGATTTTCCACTGACTCTTGTAAATTCTGGATCGAGTCTTTATATCTGAAAAATTTCTTTCTGGATGCAATTTTTCCGTATTTGGTTTCCCTCCACATTTAACTACTTTTTTCATTTTTTTAAGCAAAAGCTTTTCACCTATTTAGAAATTATCTGGGGTTAAAAAAAAAATAAGCCCTACTAAGACAATATTTTTTTTTGCAAAGATATTTTCTTTGCACTTGTGTAACCCAGAAAACAAATTCATTTTTCATGTTAAAATTCTCCAGGTGGCTTGTTTTCACCTCTCTTCAAACCAGGTATGAACCAACAGATTTGTAAAAGCCTGAAAACTCCATCTTGCAGCAGGCAATATGGAATTTAGAATCATGTCACTATTTGAAAAGCTACTGAAAAGATGCATATAAAGTATCAGTGCTAGGCACACGGTTGTAATGGGGTGTTGATGCTTAACCGCCTACTGTGCAGATTCCTATCTGGTAATCAACTCTAGAAAAGTACACTGAGGTCAGTACAACATTAAGCCTTTTTTCTCTTATTTTGCTTAAAAAGGGAGACAGAAAGTAAAATTACATCTATATTATACTATTGTTATGCTAAGACAACTATTTCAAACCCTTCAGCATTAGAGAATGATACTTTTTTACAGAGGGAAAACCAAGCAGCTCTTAGCAATAAGGCTATGCTGGGAACAAATGTCTGCTAGGCTCTCAGGATAATCTTTATTTCTTGTACTGGACATGGTAGTCTGCTACTGTAACCCCACAAAAGTGACAAACTCAAAACTGAAGTTTGCTCATAAAATATTTCATGTTTGGAACAATGCTGTTATCACATCTTGCACTACTCACAAGGCACCATTAGATCCAACTAATCAACTCAACACGTCAAAGGAAGCAGGATATGAGGACAAACTTAAGTCTTTTATGGCATGAAGAAAAAAAAAAAAAAGCCAACCCCAAAACCCAAGAGATAATTTCAGGAACCGTAAGAGTTTCCTGACTAGGAACAGCTCCCAGACTGCCATCGAGATGTTATTCTGTCATGGCTGCATAATTTACAAACTACCAAGCTAAAACATAACACTGTGTAATGTAGGACACCAGAATTTATCATACTTTTTGAGCTATGTATTATAGACGCCTGTTATGAGCATTTCATGCTTTGGCTTATAGCTCTTTCCAATCAGGCAAAAATAGTCTGACCATGATGGTTTTTTTCCCAGAAAAAGAAAGACTCCTATTTCAGATTGCTCGTCAATGGTGAGTGGCTTGAGTCATGTATAGAAATATGAAATAATCTATACAGTTTACTGTATTGATCACTAAACAATAGACATATTAAAAAAAAGAAAAAAAAAAAAAAAACACAAACAGTCAACAGCCCTCTTTCCCAACATGTACACAAGCATGATTACAAGGGATAGTCACAGTGCAGAAAGCCATGCAGTGATCTTAACCACGGGTTACTCAAAGCTGCCACTCCAGCAGCGCAAGACTTTCCACACAAGTATTGATAATACAGTCACGAATCCTTAACGGTCTCCACGACAGTACAGACATCGCTGTGTTGTCACTGAACAAGCAATGACTGTACCTGCTCTCAGAGCATTTGCTATCTAAGCAAAAGGAAAAAAAGTGAATAGAAGCATATGGCAAGCACGGGGCAGGCAACGATCTTACCATAGTTCTCATCAACCTCTTTTCGTCCCTTATGTTTAGGAACTGCTGTGACAAAAGTAAATATTATGGAGAGACCTGAAGAAGGGCATCAAATCATGGCCTCTGCTGTGGGGAAGTTGTTTGCTACCACAGATATCACCACAACAGCAACCACAAGGCAGGTGGTTTGAAAATTTTTGACAACAGAAGTGATCATTAATGGCTCAGAAGTACAAATTAATATTTTAATGTTTACTAGTATTTTGGCAGTTAATGTCTCAACAGCAACAAAATTGAGTACCAATCCTAAATGATGCTCCAAACCTTTGGACTCAAAGAAACCTCCAAAATAGGCAGAATAAGCAACATTCAGCTCAAACAGACAACTGAATATGAGTACATTTTTCTTAAGGAACAGTTCATTTTCCTATGTAACGAAAAAAATGAAAAAACAGACAGGTTTTTGTAAGAAAAGCAAGTCTGTACAAAATAAAAATCAATTCACTGCACAATTAGTACAAAAGCAAGTGAATATTGGCAAAGGAAAAAATACATAGCACTCACTTCTCATTACATTGCAATTGTTTCTGGGTATATTGTTAATATGTTTCCACTAACCAAAAATTTAAGGGTATTGTTTCAACATTTTTGAAAATCTGGGCAGCTGTACTGCAGAGCTCTTTCTTCATGGATTTTCACTACAGAAATACCCTAACAGATGTCATTTTGGTATCACATCGATGCGCATGAAAGAATGCAGGATGACATGTGATGTTCAGCTGCTATTTCCTTATCATTGGGCTTTATAGCTATATGTTTCTATTTAAATGAAGGAAGGAAATGTGCTTTCTTACAGTTTTATTTGGGATTGCTGAATTGGGATTACACCCACACAAATCCACCTACAAAGGAAAATGCAAGTTTTGTGAAAAGCCATGTCACATCTAGTGAATACAACACTTTTTCAGATAAATTAAACAAAACTAAAGAAGAGACTGTTTTCATTATGCCCTTCATGCATAGCTTCATTTAAATGAATATTCTAAATCTCAACATAAAAGAGTGAAAGACAACTTTTTTTTTTTTTTTAACCAGGTAAGTGAAGAAGCCAGAGGTCTATGTTGCAATTGCGTATTCTCTTCCTGCCAGAAGATTTTGTTCTAAAGTATCCTTCAAGGTTTATCTATTTATTTTTAAATAACTAACTCCTGACATCCTTTGTAGACTATTCCCTGGTCTGATGAACTTTCCAGGAAATTTTTCTTTATCATTTTGACCACTATAACAATTCCTCGCACTGAGCTCCTGTCAGTTGATGTGGGTTTCTGACTGCCATTTTCTTTCACTTCTTTTTTAATTTATAATCTGCAAAACATCTTCCAGTTCTACACAAGCATCTCATCTTGGGGAAAAAAGGGAGACATGAAAGCATCAAAGCGATGTCTGCACTGCCTCTCACAGCTGAGCTCCAGATCTGAACCAAGGTTTCAGGATGAAGCTGTTTGAGCCAGGAACAGCCACACCACTCAAAGGGGCACCACTCAAGTGTGACACTACAGACAGCCTGAATTAGCTGTCATGCCCCAGAGGAGCCTCAGAAAGGCAACAATCACAAACAGGTGAAATTCTGCAGCTTGACAATGCAGGACCATCAGGAGAAAAAAGCAGACTTGCTGTTCACTGTCTCCCACTATGGCTTATATGGATTGAAACCCTCTTCCCACACAGAGTTTTTAGGCATTTTCCCTCAAATTCATCTCTCTTACAAAGTGGAAATCCTAGCTAGAACTAGACAAAGTCTTTTTTTCCTACCAGTGAATGACTTAAGAGACTGCAAGCACCCTAGAGAGCCAATATTCAAGCAAAGCAAAAGGTCCATGCTGCAACAATTTCATTTTTAAACACAATCTGCCTGT